TTTTATTTTTTTTTCACATTTCATTAATCCCGACAAGCTAGCTTGTGTGGTGAAATAGACCGAATGACGAAAAGCGTGAAGTTGAAAAGTAGTAGTTACTGTATATGCGTTAAACATTTATTGCCTCACTTTGGACACATGCTGTTTGATTTTAACTCACAGTTCTGGAAGGCCCCATGTTTATCAGTTTATGGGGGAAGTCGTTAGGATGAAAAGATGATAGGCTCTTTAAAGCGGACTGTTCTGCGCATAATGACTTTATGAATGAAGTTCTTAGCTCATTTGTGTTTTTTTAAACCCCAAGCTACAAAAGACGTTGAATGATTTAAGTCGCCACACCGCGTTTAATAAATCGCAAATAGCTGTCATTTTCTAAAACAAAAAACTATAGGATGCTTATGAAATTAGTATACACAGTTTGGTAGTTTATATGCTCTTACGGCAATGCTTAGAAGATAAGATAATGACAAAGCAATTGGTCCATAATAAATGCTGATTTTGGATATAGTTAATATATTTTCCACCCATATCCATTTATCGTTCGCATTAAAATATTTATATCTGACGTACTTATTTATTATGAAAGTTTCCGATGCCCTTATTTCTGCGATGAAAATTGCAAGAAATTGCTTTTGTCGATTTTCTGAATTTGGCAAGAAAAATGAAGGTGGGTTTAGTCACGAAACTATATATGATCCCTTTAGAGGCTTAGTCGAAATCTATGTTTGCACTTTAATCTGTGCTTTGATAACGTTATGTGTATAAACTTTTCGAGGGTCAGGTTAGATGACTTTTGATTTTCAGCTAAAGCAGTTACGAATTCTTATTGCGTCGCAGGTCATTATTATAATCGTACATATTATGAAAATACCTGATTATGTAAAGAGGTACATAATCAAAGGATGAACTCGTCAGCAGTTAAATAGGTAATCTGAGCAATTTTCAAAGTAGACACGGGAGGAGAAACTGATAGTTCAGTTGTTTCTCGTGATGTTGTGCAAAGCACTCGTAGACATTCACAAAACGGCCAAGAATATATACACGAGTCATTTACGACGAAGAGGCATGAAATGTTAACTTCTGACTTGTGGCGCATAATCGGCTGGCTTTAAAACTCCACAACTGCCCTAAACCTGTGATTGGGTATAGCTATTTTATCAGGTGCTGCATGTTAAAAATAGACATACGTAGAGTTGATCGCCGGAGCAAGACCTTTATTCGCCTGTCTTTTTATATTTTTTCTCGAATCCATAATCAGAACTCGTAGCAGAAACCGTTAGATCGTACGCAGGAAGTATCAATAATTTTGGTTGCGCTCGCTGTGCAAGTTATCAATTACACTCTGGGATTCGCACTTTCGCCTGCATCGGCAAGTTCAGAACTGGCTTTTTGGTAAAAATGGCTGTTGCATAAATTTGTGGTAATTTTGTGTCTAAGTGCCATAACCACATAACGGGACATGTAACGTCCTTCCAGTATAGACAGGACATAGTTTTACCTACCGTATAATTACAACAATCCCTTGTTCGATGCGTCAAATACAAATAATATTTACGCGTGTAGGCGGCAAGGGATATTTTTGTTTCATTTTCAGCATCAATGATTTTTTACTAACACCGAAAGGAACAGGTGATGATTTTTTAGTGGATGCTATAGCCCGGATTGAGGTTTGCAGGAAATCCGATATCTTGTAAATTCAGTTATGTATTATTTGTTATTTGAAAACACGACTTAGACGTTCCGCCGGGGATTTCTTTAGTAAAAGACTACCAAGTGTTCATTTGGCCGGATTTATGGTTTTAGGGGTTTGAAGTTGGACCTTATAAAGAATTGTATGAATTCTACCATCAGGAAAAGAGATTCCAGCTTATTAATCAAAACTCAATAGGAAGGAATGGTCCTGTCGTAATTCGAATGAGTCAGTTGAGTTTGTTTACCTTTAAGGCTGCAATCTACGTTTAGGGAAAATAAGTTTTTTTACTGAAACACCGCACCTGTATAACATTCACTGATAAAAACTGACTGGAGGATTTAGTAAGTTTTTTGGATTTGTACTTTCCACTGCGGGACTGCGGAGCCTTCAGATAGTTGCCTAGTGGTGAATATTCAGTAATCGAAACATGTCACCGACAAAGCTATGGAGGACCAAAGTGAACATTTCTAGCTTAAATTTCACCAAAAGATACCTAACATTCACTAGCTGTGCTATCGTCTAAGCAGTTGTTAGAAATCGGAACTTCAGAAAGTTAAGTAAGGCGAACGAAGCTTTTCAATTAATTCATAATCAAGCAAATACAATAATATAAGGGAGATTAGAGTTAACAAAAGTCTAAGCAACCTAGCAGTAGTAACAAGGGGGATGAGGAGGGCTGTTAAGAGAGCAAACAGGGTTAGATTCTAGTCATGATTATGGACCAGAGAGGGAAAAGGGGGAGAAGGAGTCCAAGAATTGGTTAATGTCGTCCCGTCGTCCTTGGCTGGCTTTTTGTTGAGATGAGTGAGGACGCAAGGTGTCATTATCTCGTGACCGCGTCGGTAGCCTACGGATGCTTGCTATTGCTAACTCGTCGCCGTTTCGCGGCCTGGGGCCACCTACTGTTACTGTCTCCTCGCCGTCTCATCGCGTGTTAGGAAGCCTGTTGACGAATGCTGAATTGGCTTTCGGTCGTGAGGGCCGCAATGACTGTACAAACGCCTTTTACGCGCATAAGATCGGGTAAGTGAGACGTATGGTGACTGTCTCTGCCGCCACAAGTATCCGCTGAAGCGGGAACTTCGACTGTTTCGCCTGTACTCTATACATAACTGGAAACGCTTAGTTTACGCCAAACCAATGACCGCTGTTAACCAAATGAGCAAAAATCGCGCTAGCTATTGACTTTATCTCGCTTCTGTTTAATCAAGCAGAATCATGTCCCCTTTTAGCTTGAATAGTTGCCTAGTTGTTCGACTAATATAACCTGTCCCACAGGAGCATGTAAAGACGTGGATACACACTGAAGATGTCTGGAATGGGAATCTATCCTTGCCTTCAAGGTGAAAAAGTGGAGTGCTCGAAAATACTAAGCTTAACTTAGCTGCTAGATAAGTGCGCGCGATTGCAGCGGTCAAGCGAAGCTGTAGAAGGTCGCTTACTGGGTCTCCTTGTAAAGGCATGTTAAAACTAAGCGTTTTTTCTCAGCCGTCGGCACTTCCGATTTTCGTGGACGTTCATACATACGTTTATCGATGAAGTTATCAGGTAAGCCATTTTCTTGCAGGGTGTTTTTAATGAGAGCGAGTTCGTTCTGCAGCGTCTTTGGAGAACATATTCTCCCGGCTCAGTTACTGACGCAGCGAACTAGGCTTCGTTTTCGACTGAAGACAAAAGCAAACCTTATGAAGCTAGACATCAATAATTTGGCCGCTGATTTATATTACCACAAAAAAAGACAAGGGTAAGTAGAACGACCATTTCTAGCCTTTCAGAAGTCATCAGTCAGCCATACCCTTGTCTGTATTGATACAGTCACACCACTTATACGGCTAGTCGCTGTGTGTTTGATTAACGGGCTCTGGATCCAGCCGCAGGGTAAAGCGTGTCGAGTTGGAACCGCAGCACGATGGCGGATCACGCTCATTGCATAATCTGGTGACGGGTTGCGCAACCACGTGGTGCGATCAGGAGGCACCTATCTGTTTTCTAGACAACACAGTCTGACACCCCCGTCATGCTCTGTGCACTTTATTACCAGCGAGCCAGATTGGCTGGGTAAAAACCCAAATGGAAGATTGGCGTCAAAAGACACTATAAAAGCGTATAGCTGCTGTATACAAAATATTCCATATTTCGCCTTCTGATATTAAAGCATCAAAAGGTTAGTTTTTGGCGATTTCTCTGCCATGTGTTCGGCGCGGGGCAATTAGCCGAGGTTTTGCTGAATTGCGTTTGAATTTTAAAACCACCACTGCGCCCCCAGAAGTAACTTATTCCAAAAAGTATATGTACGCCTTCATAGTTAACTGTCGTCTATTTGGAGAACTTCTCTAACCCCTATTGACATAAATTTTAAGGACATTATTATGTATAAGTTTTAAATGTTTGTGCTATTTCCGACATGTTTGCGTTCCATAGAATATCAAACCGACCAAATAACTGTTTCTCGGTAACGTTATGACAATTTAAAACATCAATGGCAGTAATACGATGCTGATAACTGTAGCTCAGGCTAAAACTTAAAGGAAACATTAACTGAACTTTGCTATATAAAGTCAGAACACATTTAGTTTGATGGCCGGTTTTGTTCAGACAAAAGTTTCTGAAAATATTTAGTGATAAATTGTACTGTTTAACCGTTAAAATATGTCACAGGCATTTTCCATCACTTTCCTGTTTATACAGTCAATACTACCAATATATGTTTAGACTATCATATGTGCAATTGTTAATCTAGTAGTAGGTGGATAATGTGAGAAATTTCATTGATGCACTTATGTTAGTTTTTGCAAACATTTATCAACAGAAGGTGGAGATATGTCAGAATTAGCTAAATAGATTATCATATGCCATTTCTTCCTTTACAGAATGTCAACAATAGCCGAAAGATACATTGAAGCTTTCAAAGCTGCAGATAGGGATGGCAGCGGAACGTTAACACGTGACGAACTAGTCGCAGTTCTCAAGGATAACGGAATGGCTGCAGCAAAAGCCGACGTAAGTTAATGACCTGCTTGAATTTTACAGCAAACTTTGGTTATAAGATAAACAATGCTATTTTTGTGCCTTGTCCATATGCTGCCATTGTAAGAGGAAGCTATGAGGGGTTTGGCTCATCAGTCTGCATTCTGGTAGATAATACAGTTATTTTGCCTCCCCTGAAATCAACGGTTAATCTGAATGGAGCTTAGATAGTTTACTTCCAAATAAGCAATTTTTCTGTGACGATTAAAAAACAACCTATATGGGAAATTATTTCCAAATGTGCTTTTTTGTTATGCATATAAACACTCAAACACGATTTAGTATATTATGCGCTTGACTCCCATCTTGATCAGCATTTATCCCGGGAAGCATATACTCACGTTAGTTTCCCGAACTTAATCGCAAAGCGGCCATATTGTTAAATCAGAAATCAATGGAACAGACTGTTCATTATTGAAATCGGGTGCTTACGTTCCTCTCTTCTTTTACTGCAGAAATTAATGGAAAAACTGGACCTCAATGGGGATGGCATAATTACATTTGGGGAGTATAAAGTTGCACTCAACATATCAAGTCAGCCAATGGATGCGTAAGTAAATTATGTATTTTATAAATAATTTCTGTTTTATGTCAGTTTTCAGTTTGCCAATATTTTTTTTTAAAATAAATTTAATTAAACATCCTGTCGGATTTGAAGAAGCGAAATAATACAGTTAGTGTGTAAATGCATTTTGAAGTGTTATGACAATCTGATTTAATCTCGAACTCTTATCCAAAGCAGAATGATTTAATATTTGCACCTGCTACAAGTATTGTGAAGGGATTGAGTGCTGCAACACCTCTTAACCCTTTATGCATACAAATTTGTATTTGTAAGGTGGAAAGAGCTGTTTGAATCCCTTGACAAAGACGGAAGTGGAACAGTAAGTGCCGAGGAGTTGAAGGCCTATCTTCAGCAAACGGGTTCCGAGAACTTGCAAGATACCGTTGATGCCTGGATGGAAGACTATGACACAAATAAGGACGGCCAACTAAACTACCGGGAATTTTTGGGATTCATCGCATCTCTCGAAGAGTGATTCTCTACTGGTGTCTATACGAATGACCCTAAATTGCGTTTCAATCATTTTAAATCTATTTTGACTGTATATACGATAGTATTTTTGAAATTACTTTCAATAAAGCAGTCTTTTGCTGAACTATGTGTTGTGGCAAACAAGTTAGAGGACGGAACCAGTTCATACTACGTCCTTTACTTGTATACTAATCAGCATCGTTGAAGGGAATGCCTAGTTAAGCGGGACATAACGTGAAAAAGTAAGCCCTTTACCGGAAGAAAAGGTATTTTGAGAGGGGCATGCAAATTAATAGCGTCCCTTAACGCTAAATTTTGAACTTGAAGGATTCAGGAATTTTAATTAACCGACGTTTCAGATTCTGTCGAGAATCCTTAATCATAGGTTACTATAGGATGGTGTGAGTCATGCGCATATTATAGTGATACATGCAGAGATTACAGGATATTTATAGTTCGCAGCAGTCATCTGTATGCATTCTTTAATTATGAGCTGCTGTAACCACTTCTTGGGGTTTTAATCAGTGCGTTGATGGCTTGACACTTTGCTTTCGATTCACTAACTGCCGCGATTTCGTTGTCCGGTGGATGCGGGCTTGATAATTATGCTCGAAGTCGTTAGAGTTAATGCTGGACCAGGCCCTTACCACGTGCCCGTATGATTACGGCAAATCGTTTCGCTTGCTGATGGACTGTGGTCCCGAGAACCATGACTCAGCCTCTTTAAATCTGAAAAGATG